CATTTTCTTTTTATCAATTCACTGCAACTGAGAAATAATACTTACCTCTTTAGCATTTATTGGGCCTAACTTCTTCAAAGAGATAGAAAAGGTGATAGAGAGAAGTAGGACAAAAGGGACAAGATAGGAGAGAGTAGAGAGAAGAGCTGGAAGGGGGGCACCCAATCTGGCTTCCCACACCTCTCTGCCGGATCGGGCTGTACGCTCTACCTCCCCACTGCCTCCCAGAAAAGGGAAGAAGAGCAGAGAGGAGAAGAGCGGAATATTTCTTTTCTCTCCTGGTTAGCTGACTGCCTTAGCTGCCCAAGTGATGTCAGCCCTTTTTAATCATAGCCAGTGACTGGTCCTCTCAGCAGTGTTAGCTTGATCTCTTATAGCCTGCCATTGCGCCTGTCCTCTGATCCCAGTTTCTCTAAGCAGTTTTGCTGTTGTACTGGTAACAAAGCCCCTGCACCTCACTTCCACCAGGCGCACCTTGATCTTCCAGCCTCTGTGCTCTGCTTCAGGTGCCAAGTTGACCAAAGGACGAGGTCTGGTCGCAAAGTAGTTGTTACGATCTCTGTGGGAAAAATTAGCCTCTGATCCAAGTCCACTTGCATCTGCCAATCCCTGGCAGCCTTCAGCGGGCCCAGGTCTGGGTTTGAGGGGCTTGTCCTCGGTTTGTCTCCTTCCCGGACAAATGTTGATGAAGACTGACGCTCCTCTTGGTTCGTGAAAGGTTTAGCGTTAATGGATTTTCTTTTGCACTCAACTTTCTCGGCAAGACACCTGAGAACCTGGTTGTGTTTCCATGTGTATCTGCCCTGAGTAAGGCTAGTCCTACAACCAACCAAGATATGCTTTAGTGTGGCTGGGACTATACACAGGGGGCAGGATGGGTCCTTTCCAAACCACAGCTGCACATTTATTGGGGAAGGTAGCACATCGTATGCCGCTCGGATGATGAAACTTAGTTTATTAGACTCCATGCCCCAGATTTCAAACCATGAGAGTTTCCTCTTTTCCGCACTTTCCCAATTCATCCAGCGACCCTGTTTGACCAGTGCCACGGCTCTGGCATGTCTGGCTGTTTCCTCCTGTCGTCGCACTTCCTCCACTACCATTTTCCGACGTTCGGTTACAGATGCCTGTTCCCACCGAGGTGTTACTGCGCTAAGACCAAATCCTCCTCTGCCCTGTTGGACGTGACCCACCACGTCACAATGCTGAAGAGTGGATTTCGCCTGTAGCACAGATGTGGCTGGGGTCCACTTACTCCCCGTTGCTAGGGTGGGAGCACTGCCTCTCACTATGGGGTGCCGGGAGTCCGTGAGTGACATCTCAAGCCTCACTTTTGGAAATTTAAACTCCTTAACCAGGCTAGGGATAGGCAATGACAGTATCCCGTCACTGTAGAGTCCAATGCTGCTGAGGCACTTGGGAAGTCCGAGCCACTTCTTAAAGTAGGATCTCACTAGCCTCTAGTCGATTGGCATGATTGAGTGAGACCCCGTACATTGTCAACGGCCACAGTAGTCTGGGTAATAACCAAAACTGGAAGCACCAGAGCTTCAGTTTTCCTGGGAGTGCAGTGTTGTTAATCCGCTGGAGGTCGTCAGCCAATTTAAGCCTTAGTTGTTTTAGTTGCCACGTATCATTGAGGTCTGCATTATACCACCGTCCCAGGCTCATTATGGGCTTCTCTAAGACTGTTGGAATTGGTTCTCCACTGATATAGAATTGCTCGGCTGTCAGTTTTCCTTTTATGATGGAGATTCTGCAAGGTTTACTTGGCTTAAACTCCATTCTTGTCCATTCTATGTTTTCCTGGAGCTTCTGTAGCAATCGCCTAGTACATGGTTTTGTTGTTGTAATGGTCATGTCATCCATGTAGGCCCTAATGGGAGGAAGACCAAGGTCACTCTTGAGTCTCTCACCTCCCACTACCCACCCAATAATATTGTGGGTAAATATGTGCCAACAAAGTCTGAATTCTCCATGTTCAAAGTTAGAAAGGTATGGTATCTATTGCAGAACAAAAATTTAATTATTACTCAAATCTTCTTCAGTCAAAAAAAAAAAATCTTCTGGGTAAACATGTAGCAGCTTAGTCACTAATATTGGTTCACTTTAAAAACAAAAACTTGAAGACAACCCGATGTTTAACTAAACTTCCTGTGTTCCCCTACAGCTACTTGGCATTATTCTGTCCTCCATTATGATCCACCAGCTGTATTACCCCAACAGACCCACCATCATGATCTCCATGATGCCACCAAAATACAAGGAGCTGCACAACGCCCCAGCATGTTAGTCAAAATACAATGGACTTCTTTTCTTTAGCTACCTTGGTGCACTGCATGTTGTTAGCCCTCAGTCATAAAAGGCTGATCGGGTATTATCCTAATGCTGCTGGGCGGGAAGACGGTGTGGACACTCAAGTTTGTGAATGCCATAACTCGAGAACGATAGTGGCGCAGGAACTTCTAAGTGATACCGCAGGTGTATCTACTGAAAGTCCGTAAAATGATTCAAAAAGCAACGCCAAAAGTGACAGTGATGACATCACTACAATGTGATTGGTTACTTGGAATGTTAAACCAGGACTCAAATTAGTATTGCTGATCCAGGAACAATGTCAACATGATAACATGTTACCATGATAATGGTAACACTGGATAAAAGAACAGCCACATTCCCTTGTTACGTCACGTGGCGCTTGCTAGTAGCTTGGAGAATTTGAGGATTGTAGTTTGAAAACTGAGGGCTGTGCTAATGCAGCTGCTTGTAAAAATGTTTATAAAGGAAAATATTTCTGTATTTTTTAAAATTATTTTTGGAGTCTTCTTTGTGTCATATTTAATCCTTCTGGTGCAAACTGTAAATGTAAGTGTCTTACAGGATTAAAAGATAAGAAAACAAAATCTGTGTTGTATTAAAATCTTGTTCTGTTTCACTGACGTTTGTTTAAAAAAGGAAGTTATTGTATTCTTAGTAATTGGTTAGTAGAGAAAGGTCACGGGCCACGGCAGCATCCAGAGAGAGGCATCCTCAATCTGTCTTGTTTTAATGGAAAAATTGGAGTGTAACAATCTAAACCACTAACCATGTAAAAATGCTAACTTGTCTTGTGTGCAGCTCTCCTGGCAACTTACGGGGCACAAAGTGCTGGTCAGGGCATCCTAGTTGTGTGTATAGATAGTGCAGGTGGGCGGCAGTAATAACAGAAATTCAGTGTGAAATTACAAGTATGTATAGTAATTTATCTATATAAAATACAAATAAATATTTACTCACTTTATATCAAAGCTAAATTAAAACTGGTAAAAGACGTGATATTACTCTGACCTAAATTTACTACTCTTCTATTGAAGTTTGGGTTCCCATGACAGGTGGTTGCCCCACGCCTTAAAACTTTGCATGTGACCGCTAGGATTATGAGTTTATGTCCTGCCCCTGCATAAACACAAACCTCGCCTACTTTTTTCACAGTGGAGGATTTAATTCAATTTAATTTTAAACAGTTTTATTACATAACAGTTTTTGATGCACAGTATGCAGTTTGTCGTGATTGGCTGAAATAAATTAGGCTACCTCCGGATATACTCTGAATGTCTTGATTTGATTTAGACTATCACATCTCCTCTGTCTTCTCTGTGTGTCTATATTTTACACTACACATAAATTATTTAAATGGCTCAACTCTGAAGAATATTTTCTACCTGTTCCCAAAGTCACGGTGTCTTCATACTTATCGGGATCAGCACTGTCAGATGAAGGTACCTTCTGCTCTAATGCTACAGTTATTGCAGTTATCCATATTACACAGAGCATACAGGATCCTTAAAATTATGTTTATTATCCTCTTAAAACGGTAGATATCTGTGATTCATCGGGCGCTTACTGCACAAAATAAACTATGCTAATGTTACGTACGGCCCCAAATGGCCGCTGTACAAGAAGGTGTTAAGCTCCAATAATGACCAGTAAGAAACCACCACACTCACACTGCAATGGTGTACACAAGATTTGTGCGAGTTTAAACACGGGACATTATAAGAACACTTGAATTTTTCCATGGCTTAACGAGGCAATAATGACACATTTTTTCATGTATTTTTCCCAAATTATAGATTTCTGCAAAACAGTGACGTGGGACTCATTGGAGGGTAGTGTTTGCATTGCTTTGCTCTGTCTGACAGCTCGTTCACACTCGGAGGACTAAAAGTGCTCTGTGGATGCTCAAAGTCTTTGTGGGTCGAATTATTCCACAATGAAAAATGATTAGGAATCATAAAAGAATCAAGTGTGATATGAACAAAAAACTACAAAGACACAAAAAAGTATAAAACTTACTTCAAACAAAAAATAAATAAAACAAAAAGTATTATTTAATAAGATGCAACTATAAAAGTAATAAGGGGGGAAGTTAAAGTCGATGTAATCTGTATTTGAGTGCAGTACTCATACTGCTTTACATTTTAAATCACTGCAGAAATGTGATGATATAACATAAAAAGGATGTAACATCGCTGTGTGTTAGTGTAATACTCCTCTAAATATATCTCTCACTATTTAAAAAACTCTGAGTACATTGTGTGCAGATGCAGTAAAATCTACTTTAAACTGTAGAGGAATAAACTGACTTTCAGTAAGTCAGCTCCTCCTGCTGACGACAGATTCTCATGAAACTAAAAGGAATCGTGTCTCCACATCTGGATCGTTTTAAACGGGGCATAACACCGCCCTCTCCTCCATTCCAGCCAGCCTGAGAACAGCTTCCCTCCCTGTTCACAGCAACAACTATTTCCACTGGATTTAACTGGAAGGAGGAAGACCCTGCGTTCAACCTCCCCTTCCTAATCAACCATTCCACAGAAGTTTCCACCTCTAACATACCGGACGTCCCGCCCAGCAAAGCCCTGAAACCCTTCAAAGCAGCTCACTCAGCTGCTCTCCTCTCACTTCACTTCACTTCGCTGCAGTCGGAGCTCATCTGGACTTTGGGAACAGTACTGTTATTTTGACTGCATTTTCCAGCTGCAAACATGGCTCAGATCAACATCTGCCTCAAACACATCTTCACTGTCTTCAACATATTCTTCATGGTGAGTAAAGAGATTTAGGAAATGATAATCGCAGACTTTAATCCAGAATCTCCTTAAAGACTTCAAACCAGTCAGCAGGCAGACGCAGCAGTCAAAAACAACCACATTTGCCTCCTTTTTTTTACATGTAAATGAAACTGAAGCTTAGAAGAGTAAAATAAACCGACATCAACTCAACACGTTTGTTCTTACTTTCAGAGTTTGTTGTTGTGCTCGTCCACGTGCGTGGCTGTGCAGTCATTTCATATCCTGGTTGTGTTTAAAGGATCCAGCAGCTCTAACCAGACTGTTTCTGTTTGTTCAGGTTGTTGGTGGAGTTGTCATCCTCCTCGCTTTTGTGGTGCCAGTTCTTCATGAACATTCAAGGAGGATACAACGTGAGGACACATTCAAACATAAATGTAACATGTGGGAACAAACAGACAAAGCCCATTAACCTTTCGTGACACTTCTGTCCACAGCTGGAGGGTCACGCTACCAAACTCTTCATTGTCTACATCATTGGTTTCATCACCATGATGATTGCTGTACTGGGAGCCTATGGAGCCCACAAGGAGAGCAAAGTGGCCCTGATCATGGTGAGCACAAAGATCTCCACAACCTCAGAATGAAAGTTTAGTCATTTAGCTGCCAACAATCTCATTGACTTAATAAAGAAAAGAAATTGTTCATCAACCTAAATGAAGCCATTTAGCTCCAAATGCTCTAAAATGAGCTGCTGTGAAAAATAGTTTGAGGACTCTATCAGTGTTAGAACTGTCCAGCTGATCAGCACTGTCTTATTTTTCTTCCTTATAAAACCATAAATAATGATGATGTAACAGTGTCGCTTCAATTATTTGTTTCTGAAATGTGACTTTGAAGCCTCAACATGTTTGTGAAAGTGGTCAGGGTAAAGTAATTTCAGTAATTCCACATACTGAAGATATCAGATTAAAAGTCTTTGTGTACCTCTCTGCAGTTCCTGGTGTTCATGTTCACAGGATGTCTGTTGATGCTGATGACTGGAATCCCTGCTGCCAGCTCTTATCCTCAGGTAAGGACAGGACGCTTGGAGTCAAGTACATAAAAGTATTTGATTTGATTTAACTGGAAATGTTTTTTTAAATATGTACTTTAAAGTCAACTCAGTTAATACAGACACATTTTCATTACCTTGAAATGTCAGATGTTTTTTAATGATGATCTGTCTACATTAAACATTTTTGTATCCTGTAAATTTAATTTATGATATAAAAATGTTTCATGTTTGCAGGTCAAAGGCAGAATGGAGGAGAGATTCCGCAAGTTTGTTCCTCTGGACAAATCTCGAAAGGATGTGAGGAACATGGCTGTGGACATTCAGAAACAGGTAAGATATTCTAACCTGCTCAGGGTTGTCTCTTTATTTATTTTAAATATCTTATTTTGTTTTTTAATTTTCATTATTTAGATGTTATATTTTTTAATGTGAATTTAGGGCCCTTGAGTGTTGGCTTTATTCCCGAGCTACAGTCATGGGAAAATGAAAGTAAACCCTCTTTAAAGTCGAAGGTTTTGTCTATCAGGACATAATACTTGTAATCTTCCCCTTAGCAGGTCTTAATATTAGGTAAAAAAAATAACTTCAGGTGAACTATGAAACATGACATATGACATTGTGCCATTATTTATTCAACAAAACTATGTTAATTCAATTCAATTCAATTTTATTTATATAGCGCCAAATCACAACATAAGTCGCCTCAAGGCGCTTCATAGATACAGAGAAAAACCCAACAATCATATGACCCCCTATGAGCAAGCACTTTGGCGACAGTGGGAAGGAAAAACTCACTTTTAACAGGAAGAAACCTCCGGCAGAACCAGGCTCAGGGAAGGGCGGGGCCATCTGCTGCGACCGGTTGGGGTGAGAGAAGGAAGACAGGATAAAAGACATGCTGTGGAAGAGAGACAGAGGTTAATAACAGATATGATTCAATGCAGAGAGGTCTGTTAATACATAGTGAGCGAGAAAGGTGACTGGAAAGGAAAAACTCAATGCATCATGGGAATCCCCCGGCAGCCTACGTCTATTGCAGCATAACTAAGGGAGGATTCAGGGTCACCTGGTCCAGCCCTAACTATATGCTTTAGCAAAAAGGAAAGTTTTAAGCCTAATCTTAAAAGTAGAGATAGTGTCTGTCTCCTGAATCCAAACTGGAAGCTGGTTCCACAGAAGAGGGGCCTGAAAACTGAAGGCTCTCCCTCCCATTCTACTTTCATTACTGACAGCAGTAAGAGTTAAGTTTATTGTCACACACTCTAACAGTGTTAGAGTGTGTGACAATAAACTTAACTCTTACTGCTGTCATGAATAAAGAGTTCATGACAGTACAATTATAAAAAGATTGAACAAGTGACTTTAAGAGTTGCCAGGAGGAAGTCTTTTTTCTCTAAAATGAAAAACATAGCAGCAAAGTTTAGGTTTGCAACCTTCACTTTGTTCTCGGACCACCAAGAACAAAGTGGAGATTTTTGGTCATAATGAACAGTGCCATGTTTGGTCCAAACTAAAGACATCATATCAGCATTAAAACCTCAGAACAACTGGGCTAATCTTATAGCCATGGGATCTGGTCAACTTACAGTCCCTGAGTCAACCTTGAACTCCTCTGTATACCAAAGTGTTCTAGAGTGTAATGTGAGGCTATCTGTCCACGTATGTCCGAGTATGATCAGAACAATGATCCCAAGCACAACAGCTTGTCTATAACAGAATGGCTGAAAAAGCAAAGAGCCATGGTGCTGTAATGGTCCAGTCAATGTCCAGACCCCAACCTGACTGAAATGGTGTTGTGGGACCTCCAGAGAGCTGTCTCCACAACCATCAATGAACTTGTTAATGACGTTAACCAGAACAGTTGACCAAAATTCCTCCACAGCAATGTGAGAGACTAATAAAACCATATGGAAAGGCTGCAACAAGTAATGTTTGCCAGTTATTGCTGCATGATACTAAACGGTGGGTGTTCTTAGTTTTTCACACAGCACTCAAGCATTTTAATGTGATTTTTATAAATGAAGACCCTGGGTTAGATGTATTTTAAGCCCTGATATGTAAAACCTTGGAACTGACAGAAGACGTGTTTTCTTTTTCCCATCACTGCAGGTCTCTGTGTTATACACAGTTAATGGTTAGGAGCAAGCAAGCTTTCAGAATAAGAGCGAGTAAACTGTCCACAAGTAATTTGATACATTATCATTGTCTCGAATTTGTTGTTGTTGTGGTTGTTTTTTTTAAAAGTTGAACAAAAAACCCTCACACATACTTTTTATAGTCTGCTTCCAGCTGTCGTCTCATCCTCCTGAAGATGAGTAACTCTCCTCTTTTTTTCTTGTCCTGCTGCTGTTTGTAGTTTCGCTGCTGTGGTCTGTTCAGCTACAAAGACTGGGAGAACATCCCCGAGTCCTGTGTGTGCAGCCAGGAGGAGGAGAAGGAGGGCAAGTGTCAGACTCTGAGAAAAAACGTAAGCATCGGCGCACCCGCTCGCTTCACTTCTATTCAGTGTGTCACAGTTTGTAACGTCTTTATTTTTGCAGCTTTACCAGATTTTAACACGGCAGAGAAAGTCCGTCTACACTAAGGTAAGCGACCCAGCACCGTTTTGAAAAAGCTTAAGTCATTTGTGTGTCCATGACAGAAACTAACAGTTTTCATTTTTCCTTCTATTTTCAGACCTGCTTTCCCACCATCATGGACCACATCCAGTTTACTAACAAAATCAACATTGTGGTCAGCTTCACTCTGGCTATTCTAGCTGTGAGTATTATCACTTATTTAAGGATTCAGCAGCATAAATGCCTGATCTGTAACTTAAAATCTGCATTCTCCCCTTTTAGTCACTGTTAGTCACTATTTATTATTCACATCTAAAATTAGGGTTATAACTTTTTGTTGACTGTGAGGTCCTTAGACCCTGTGCCACAGTGGGGAGAAATTCAGCTTTTTTACCATCAGGCAGAAATGTTTTTGTGGTCAGATATTGGGAGTCAAATCTGTTTTAAAATTGTTTTCAGCAAAGTTTGATACCCCCACGTTTGACATGCTGAAAAATTATAGCATCTGTTTCTGAACAAAAAGGAAACTAGTACAAAATCTAATTCCAAAAAGTAAAAAAAGAATTTAATAACATTAAAATTTAACCTTAAATAAAACCTGATGCCTAACTTATCTTCCTGTGTTCCCCAATAGCTCCTTGGTGTGATTCTTTCCTCCATCATGGTGTACCACCTGTATCGCTTCAACAGCCACACCATGATGATCCTCACGAGACCACCAAAATACAACGAGATGTGCAAACCTCCACCATACTAGTCAAAGTATGACAGAGTTTATTTCTTTTGCTAGCTTGGTGCACAGATTTCTGGAGCCCTGTCGAGTCTGTTTTCTTGAATTTGAAAATGACATATTTGGTTGAGGTTTATATCATTGTGCCTTATGTCTTCATGATGAAGTTGTCTAAATTGAGATCATCAGTTTCAAGCGACTTGAAAAACGATACTTAATAAGCTTAAATTGAAATGAAAACGTCTAAAATTTGACTGGACTCTTTTAACTCAACCTTTATCAGAAATCCTTATTTTCATCACATTAACAATGAGAAAATGTCTAAAAAGGAAAAATAACTGAATCTAGTGATTTCCAAAGCTGAACAGAGGTGATGGCTTACAACACCAGCTATTAGCCACCTACTATGCAGTCTTGAGACCATTCCCAGCCAAATCATTGCTCACTGACACCTTTGACTCATGTGACCTGTTATGTTTCTAGAATGCAATGTTACTGTTACTAATTCTGTTTGCGATGGTAACATTTGATGAAATTAAAAGCCACATTCCTTTTCTATCTCATGTGAAGTTTCTTAGTAATACAAAGACAGTTAAGTTATATTTTGAAAACTGAGAACTGTGTTGATGCAGCTACTTGTAAAAATGTTTATAAAGGGAAATATTTTTGTATATTGTTTTGGTATTTTTAGTGTCTTCTTTGTGTCATGTTTGATTCTTCTGATGTAAACTGTAAATCTAAAGGTTTTACAGGATTAAATGGTGACAAAAGAAAGTCTGTGTGAAATCTTCTTCTGTTGTACAAAAAAGGAACTTATTCTCACTGCATTTTTGTTGACTGTCAGACTGTTGACTGACAAAGGTTATGGTAAATGGCCTGTATTTATATAGCGCCTTACTAGTCCCTAAGGACCCCAAAGCGCTTTACATATCCAGTCATCCACCCAGTCACACACAGGTGATGGCAAGCTACATTGTAGCCACAGCCACCCTGGGGCGCACTGACAGAGGCGAGGCTGCCGGACACTGGCGCCACCGGGCCCTCTGACCACCACCAGTAGGCAACGGGTCAAGTGTCTTGCCCAAGGACACAACGACCGAGACTGTCCAAGCCGGGGCTCGAACCGGCAACCTTCCGATTACAAGACGAACTCCCAACTCTTGAGCCACGATCGCCCCGATCCACGACTGATTAAAAAAAATAAAATAAATATATCACATTGATTTTTACATTCAGTAACATTTCAGTTGTTTTTTTTTTTTTTGCCATTATAGTAGAACTTGGTGAGCTGAGAAGCCTGCAGTCTGAGACTGAATTGCTCTGTTAGCATAATATGTTATGTGAAGTCTTTAAGATATGATCCTTCTCATATTTGCATATAAACTTTGAATTTAATTGAACCATTGGAGAGACGCAAATATGAGCGAAATAATAAAAAACAAATAAGTCTATGAACTCAATCTTCAACATCACCACGAGACACGATGCTTCAAATTTTAGCAATATTGTGCAAATTAATGTGTTTAATAAGTGCGCTGAACAACATATGCTGGCAAACAAGAGATCTACAATTTCTCACAGTGTTATTGGACCCATCTAATTGCCATCTAAAGTAAATATCCGGTTAGAGATCCTGTTTCCAAGATTTTTATTACTGAGTGCAATAAACCTCAATTTATGTCTGAATTTAAAAGTAGGCAATTAAAAGTGAACCAGGTTTTTTGTGATAAGCTTTTAGTTTAATCTGCAGAATTCTATATTTGGCTTCATAGATAAATACAGCACGATGTCATCTGCATAGCAATCAAAATTTATGCAGTTTTTTTCTAATTATATTGCAGAAGGGATGCACGTATGCTATAAAATGTATTGATCCTACCACCGAACCCTGTGGAACTCCAATACTGAGTTGATGAGCCTACCATAAGAGGCCATAAGAACATTAATAATAACCTTCACTAATAATGTTTCTGTGGTGCGAGGAACTCTGTAGGTAAAAGTAAACTTAGAAATTGGTCTATAATTAGCTAAGATAACTAGGTCAATTGATGATTTAATTACGGCCACTTTAAAGCTTGTGATGCGTAGCCTGTTCCTAAAGAGAGATTAATCAGATTTTAAATTGAAGTCTTGTGGCAAAATTTCTTTGAACAGTCCTGTAGGAATGTGGTCTAAAAGGCACATTGATGGTTTAAAGGAAGAAATCAGCGAAGGTAATGTAGAAAGATTTATAGAAGGGGTTAGAAGGGGTTAGTGGGGTTCTTCCTTTTTTCCTCAAACAGTGACAAATAATAAGATGTAGAGTAGCAAATTATTTTTCCAGACCAAACAAAGATCTAAATGAGTACAATCCCATAATCCTCTAAGGATACAACCCACTAGCAACGCTTGTTAGGTTCAGTGAGCCGTGACTCCTGCAGCTGTAGCTGTCCTCTTATGATTCTTCCTCTTGATAAAATTGTTAGGTAATATGGGGGACAAAAAGAGCCACGTGCATTTTAAATGTTGGAAATAAATCTTTATTGTTTGAATCCATTTACTTATTTTTCTTTTTTCTATTTTAAAAAGATTTTGAAAATAATTTTTTAAATTTTGAATTTGAAATGTGACACAACACATTGAGAAATCATTTCATATGTAATTCATTATTCATTTAATTGATAATGAAAACTGTATTTATAAATCGATATTTCAAAATGTATTATTAATCCATGAACACATGCTTTGAGTTGAAAATGAATTTAACAAAAAAAGAAAAAGTATTCAACTTTCAATAAAAACCTTATTTTTAAAAAAGAAAACAAAAAACCCACTTTCTTTCTTCTCCTGCTGCTGTTTGTAGTTTCACTGCTGTGGTCTGTTCAGCTACAAAGACTGGGAGAACATCCCCGACTCCTGTGTGTGCAGCCAGGAGGAGGAGAAGGAGGGCAAGTGTCAGACTGTCAGAAACAACGTAGCAACCACTATCTAAAAAATATTTTGTTGGCTCAACTTAAAAAATTGAGGCAACAATTTCCACTCAGCTTTTTAAGTTACAAATTTTGCATATTATTAAGTAAATCCAGCAAGTAATTTTTAGGTTTGGCTAACTCAACCGGTTTAACACACCAACATGATTTACTTTGACCTCCAAAAGCATAATTACGTTTATGCGACCTAATATTAATTTCAATTTTCTGGTAATATTAAGTTGAGAAATTACATTAGTTTTTACATATATCCTACTCACAATTATCCATGCCAATTAGTTTAGGTTTCTACAGTAACTTTTCTAAAAAAAAAAATAAAAAAATCACACATAGCCATTTCACTTATTCCAATTGATTATTCTATTACAAAACATTTACAAAGTAATACACTTCTGTGTCAATACAACATAAATGAAACATTACAGCAGCCCTTTAATTATAAATGACTGGGCAAAAAAAATGTACTTCATGTACATTAACATTAACTTAAATTGGTATCAACTTGGTCAACTTGTCGCAGAATCAAGGAAATGACAAATGATTTTGATGTTCAACAACGGAACTGTCCAAAGCTAAGGTTATATGGATTACAAACCTCTCTCAAAACCACACTCATCTAGGACTGCATACAAAAACATGAGAGGCACATCAGAATACCACAGTCCAATTCACATTTCTTTCTTTTTTTTCTTTTGTTTTGATTTTTTGGAAAAAAAAAAATCACATTTATTTCACGACAGAAGTTTGCACTTAAAGCCAGTCCACGGGTAATGTCTCTTAAGTCCATCAAGTTCCAGAAATACCTTCTGGAATACCTCTAGAGCAGGAGTGGGCAATCTCAGTCCACGAGGGCCGGTGTCCCTGCAGGTTTTAGATGTGTCCTCGAACCAACACAGCTGATTTAAATGGCTAAATTAGCTCCTCAACATGTCCTGAAGTTCTCCAGAGGCCTGGTAACGAACTAATCATGTGATTCAGGTGTGTTGACCCAAGGTGAGATCTAAAACTTGCAGGGACACCGGCCCTCGTGGACTGAGATTGCCCACCCCTGCTCTAGAGTGTTCTTTACTTGTTTTGGGTAGCTCAGATTGAGAGCGTATATAAGCCCCATCATTAAGGCACACGCTCTGGGCACATCAAGGTTTTCCAGACTGCTGCACGTCTTGTGACTACAACCTTTACCAGCTCTTCTCGGAACTGTTCTTCATGATCCTGGCAAGTAGGTTAAATGGAAACATGTCAGTATTTTATGTGCCATTTAAAAATATAACACAAAAGAATGTGAGATTCACCTACCAGCTGTTCTCTGAAGAGATCCTCTTCTTTGTCTTTCAGATACACCATCAGGCAAACGGATAGCGACCTCTCTTCTTGTTTCCACCGAAAAAAAAAGCAAAACAAAACTTAAACTTACAGTTTATTAGGTGAAAAGTCAAAACTGTTACATTTATGGGACTTGTGTTGTGCCAAATATTGATTTTAAATATGTTTTTAAAAGAATTAAAAATGTAATCTTTGTAACTTCAATTTAAACTGTTACATACTGGCCTGCTTTAAATGCACCCTTTGCTAGCAGTAGGATAAGGTGAATAAAAGTAAATGTAACCTAAATTTAGGGACTATTTCAAACTTTTTGTTGAGTTGTGTTCTAAGGATTAAACTATAATTGTTATGTGTAAGATATGCGAAAAAGTACCTGTGGACAAGTCTTGTAATGATGTGATAAAGCAATAAAAGCTCCTATCCACCCTGTTGTAGGTCAGCCTATGCCACAGGCAGGCTCTGCTGTGTCCTTCGCATCCAGCTTTTCTAGCTATGACCAAAGAGGAATTTCCATCAAAGCTATCTTCAATCTAACTCCTAATTCGATGGCTCCGTAGCCACCTTTCTATCTCCCTTTATTTAATGCAACTATTGTAGTAAGTGCTATGCATAAGATGGAATTGTACAGGGAATGATTTTGATCAGACGTGAAAGGGGAAAATGTCCGAGGAAGCTCCCGCACCTGCTGCCGCCCCGGCCAAGGCGGCCAAGAAGAAGACGACGGCTTCCAAGCCCAAGAAGGTCGACCCCAGTGTGGGCGAGCTGATTGTGAAAACCGTGGCCGCTAGTGATGTGCGATACCACTGATTTCCTTTCCAATCCGATACCAAGTAATATTCAGGGTGGTATCGACAATACTGATCCGATACCGATACTTTGTACAAAAACTTATTTTATTTATTGTATCTAAACAATATGAAAATGTTTTTTGAAATGAAGACTTGAAAAGAATTTTAAAAATCAATTTATTAAATTGGAATTCAAAAATGAATTTACAAATACGGATTTTATTCTAAAATTCATTAATTAAGCACAGAATTTTTTATTTTGATGCACGTGGCTCTTGTGGTCCTCCATATCCTCTGGGGTTTTCACACAGCTGGATAAACGTCAAACAGAAAACTGATTAAACAGAAGTGTGAGACGGTCGAGAGTTTAAGGCAGCGCCCGGTTATATGTTAGATAGCAAGGAGCAGACGGCTGAGTTTCACTCCACTGAGGGAGCTCACGTCGTACTACCCGGCTTTGTTTAGACCGCGAAGGCTGGGTCCTCAGGTGGAAGCAGCCTCTGAATTTGGACACCCCCGCTGTTTCCGGGCCGGCCAATAATAACGGTGACATTTAACAAAAGTCAAAGTCAAAGTCAACTTTATTTGTCAATTCTGCCACATGTACAGGACATACAGAGAATAGAAATTTCGTTACTCTCAAACCCTAGATGAAATAGCAAATGAACATTTAAATATAAGAGAGTGATTAAAA